CTTACCTGTATTTGGGCAGTTGGGCTTTGAGTTTTGGTTACTGCTGGAAGGAAAGATAACACGTGGTGGTAGGGCAGTTCACCAGAAAATGGAATTTAGTAGCTGAAGACTGAGTATCAGTGATGTAAGGCGCTGAGCTTGGTTGTTTGTCGAAAACAACTTTAGAGTTCAAATGTGTAGCAAAAACTGGTAATAAAACGTAGGATGCTGATGGTTATTGTCTAAAAGTTCTGTTGGCCTTCTTGGAGGAGATTTTCTATAGGTCTTTCTGCCGGTTCCTGATATCTCTTTCGGACAGCGTATGTGACTGGCTGTTTTCACTTCTTTATATATGTTGTATTCTTTGTTAGCAGTATTTCTTATATTAAAAATGTTTTGTTATACGTTATCGATTTCCCATTCTGAAATTAGCTCATAGAGTTTGATTAGAATTTTCGGACACGAGAGTTATTGTTTTTCACCATTTAGCATAATGGAACCAAGTGTCTAGTAATTGTTGGATTCAGAAAACATGACTAAAACTTCATCCATCGTTCTTTTTTTTTTTTTGCTTTAGCTTTTCTTAGAAGTTTTTAATAGATGAAGGACAAAAGCGTCGTTCATCATTATCTTTTTGTTTGGAAGAATAAAAAAGCGTTTTAAGGGCTGCAGTGAGACTTGTTACGTTGATGGCAGGTATAGCGATTCTGTTCCTATTAGAATGCTTAATACGGAACGACATTCATTATTTATAAGAGACACCTCACTGAGCTTCGTAGCACTAGTACATTTTCTAGTGCTCTTGCAGTTATTTTTTTTTTTTTTACTGAGACTGTTCAAATTTTTTGTTACATTACAAGTTTCTATTAATAGTATCCTTGTTAAATGATGTTTTGAATTTGACTAATGAACGTCATTAGACCATTGTTTTACAGGGTTTGTTCTACGGTTTCGAGGAACACACAGCGCTTCAATTTTGATACGTAATTGAAGAGTTATAAAAGTAATTTCTTGCTAACTTTTTTGCGTTTATCATGTTTTTTAATACTTGGAACTGTGAGTGACGGCAATAATGTCTTTTTAATTTGACTAAGAGACTTGTTACAGTTTTCAGGTTCTGATGTTTAGCGTCTAATGTTTTCACCAGAACGAGGTTGAGGCTGAGTGCAATGTTAAGCTTGTTTGCACCGGGATTTTGTATCTTTTTAATCTTTTTTGCTTTGGCAGAGGAGAGCAAAAATGTGACAGACCCAAAGGAGGCTTACGCCGCAGAAATACTCAAAGCTTTTGAGGATGCATTACCGAAAGAAAGTTGGATTTTTTTTTGTTGTTGTTGTTGTTGTTGTTGTTTTGTTTTGTTTGTTGTTGTCGTAGGCTCCGAAGTAAAGGATAGCCAGAATTTTTCCGCTTTTCAAACCCATCTTTACTCTCCTCAAAGAAAAAAATTAAGTTCTGCTGCTTAATTCCAGTTTTAGCTTTTTAGATTACTTTCTCTTTTTCTAGTTTAGTTTTTTTTAAACCATTTTTTCCTGCTTTTTGTAATAGTACGTTTTAGAGAAGGAGTATTATAAAGACTACAACTTGGTATGCAACTGTACAACTGCTTGTTCTTCTGATGGTTTGGGAATCCTTGCGAGTAAGTACAAAGACGTATGTATTACCAATGGTGCTTGTGTAAAACAGGTCATGTACGATGGCTCTGTATCTGTATCGTATGTTTTTAATCCTTTTTTGCGGATGTTTTCAGTAAATTAGCTGTTAAAAGCTCTGTACCTCGTTTGCGGTTTATGAGCTCTAAATTTGGTAAAAGAAGACAACTTGGAAGTTGGTCAAAAGAGTGGCAGCTTCGAAGTATTCTTTTTGGTCAGGTTTCCGACGTCTCATTCCGTACAGTTGGTGCACCATTACTTTATAGTGGTTTAATTTTCAGATGCAGATCATCTAATGTTAAATATGATTGTCGATCAACACAAAATGAAAATTACGGTGTAGCTTGTTGTGATACATATAATTTCTGTAATGAGGACTTGAACGTCACTTTAAAGGTTTGGTTTTATTTTTGCTAGTTTTGTCTTTATCGTTTTGACTCGAGAGTTTACTTGAGTAAATAAAATTAAGTTTCCAAATGGTTGTTAGAATTAGGATTAGAGTTGCTAATGCTACATTGGTTAAAAGCGGATTGGAAATATCAACAGGCGGTGCTCTCTTGAGTTACTGGTTAGTGACATTAAGCAAATTGCAGTTTTTGCAGATCGTGTTAGTTATCTTTAGGGGCTTGTGAGGATGTGAGCGCAAGTGTCCAGAAAGGCATATATCATTGGAACATAATAATGGTGAAATTGAATTTATCAAGATGTATTATGAAGCTTTGCAACTCGTTTGGTTAAACAAATTTTTTCGAAAACTGAATGGGCAGCATGCACACTGTACTTGTAGGAGGCCAGAGTGATTAAGATTTTAGTTAAAAAGGTTCAAGGAGTAATTTTTTTGAATGAAAATCAGCGGAAGATGAGCTTCTAGAAGGCAGTAGGCTAAAATCCGTTGAACTTAAAATCAAATAATATGTTGGCATACAGTTTGGGACTAGTCTAGACTTTTTCTCATTGTTGTAAAAAGAGGGTCGTGCATAGTACTTGTTATTAGTTATTGTGCGTTTTACTTTTTTTTTTTGCTGAAAAGATTTTTTTGACATATTTTTTGCTTCTACGAACTCTAGAAGTTTTTTCAACTAATCAAGATACTGAATTAAATATAGTTCTTTGGCATCTTTCAAGGATTTGGTTGGCTGTCATTGTGGTAAGGTTTTTGTAGTTGACTTAGGAGTAAGCAAGTGATTATGTTTGCGTGTGATATTGAACATTTTTTGGAAAACTTTTTTATCCAATTAATTTCAAGTCAATGATAAAGGCATACTTTTCCGATTAAGATTTACAAATAGATACTACTATAATTTTTGTTACTAGGTCTTGTAGTCTCATAGACTTGGTTTTCATATTTCTTACTTGTCCTGAGTCTTATATAGTTTTTACTTTTTATTCTCGAGTATTTGAGTTTGCGGGTACGACCATATATGGTTTGAACTTTTTAGACTTTCACTTCTTGCTGATAAGACATGGGAAAGAGTATGTTGGTGGAATTTATAAGTTGGAATGTTCTTCTTTTCTTTTTGTTGCTTGAAGTTACTGGTAAAAACTGGTTGCCTTTTTTTGCCCGGTCTAAAGTGATAAGCTATAGATTTCATGTTTTTGGTGTGTAACGGTCGATAGAACAAAGTGTTCTGAACCTGTAATTAGCTTGTGCCCCTGTCCTTGATCAGTGTAATTACTGTTTCTGTAATTTCAGAGCAGTTTTATTCCTGATTTATTGGTGGTAGCTATGCTTATTTGAAATTTTTCATTTAGGAATACTATTCACCTACTTTCAAAGCGTGTCGGCTTGTGTTTATTGGTTTTTTGGCGTTGATTCTGGTGTCTGCATTTGTTGGTGTGCTGATTTTTTCCTTTTTAATGAGACGACCGGACAATAAATGTTCATTTTGGGTCTTTAAGCAACTATGTCGACACAGAAATGCCCAGTAATGTTTTTTATAGTTTTTCCTCGACCTTGGTCTTACAGTGACGTTTGTTAAATAAATGTGAGTTTACACAATTTAATAGGTTTGTGGAAACTGAGGGTTTGATTCATCGGCCATTTTTTTCACGAGCGAGTCGCATATTTGATAGGTTGACTTCTTCGGTCAGTGAAAGAACAAATGTAGATTTGACGGCAGTGAGTGGAAGTGGCAGTGGCTCTGGTTCTGGTCAGTTTCTAAGCAGCAGTGATGTCAGTTTGCGTTCTCGTCATTTAATTGTTTATTGTATTCTTCTAGGTTTACCTGGTTTAATGCAAAGAACCGTTGCTCGTCAAGTCGAATTATCCTGTCCTGTTGGGGCTGGACGCTTTGGAGAGGTGTGACAATAAGTAGTTGTTTTTTTTTTTTTATTGCTATTTGCTAAATTGTTGTTGGCATTACGTACGCGTAGTTTTTTTATCTGTTTTATCTATAGTATGTCATTTCCATCACTACTGTGTTTAGGTTTGGCTCGGGCACTGGAGGGGTGAAGCTGTTGCGGTTAAGCTTTTCAATACACGTGATGAGCAGTCGTGGCAGAGAGAGGTAGAAATTTACGAAACAACTTGGCTCAGACATCCGAATATTCTTGCATATATTGCTTCAGATTGCAGAGGTAAGTCTGAGTAGGACTTTAGGTGATTTTACTTAATTGAGTTTGATTCCGAAAATAGTGTTTTCTTAGCAAGGTTTGGTCACGGGTTATCACAAAAAATGAAGATTGTTCAAACGTACTTTTGCTAGTACTCCAATATATTTGATTTCAGATGTAGGGGTTGCACTTCAGCTGTGGCTCATTACTGAATATCATGAATTTGGTTCTTTATACGATTATCTGATGGAAAAATCCGTCACCCCTCCAGTTGTGGCGAAAATGATCAGGAGCATTGCTAGTGGCCTCTCATTTCTCCATTTTGAATTGGAGAATAGCAGCCATAGTCAGTTTTTGTGGCGTGATAATAGGATAATTTGGTTATGTTCAGCGGTTTATTGGGCGTGGCATTACAGACTTAAAAAATAAAACCTTGCTTGTAAAAAGATTGTCTGCGGGTTTTCAAAGTTTCGAGGGGAGGTTTGAAAGATGTATGTAGATGGGGTGTTTCATTAAAATTTAGTTCATTTCTTTTTAGCAACGAGAAAACCGGCTATTGCGCATCGCGATATAAAGTCCAGGAACATATTAGTAAAGTCGGATAAGACTTGTGCGATCACAGATTTTGGTCTCGCAGTTAAATTTGAAAATGGAAAAGTTGATCTTCCCAATAATTCGAAATGCGGGACAACTGTAATTTTCTTTTTTTTCTGTTTACTTCTTAGAATAGGACATTAGTGATTTTACTAAATGTAGCGCGGTTTGGAAAATAGTATTTTTACAGCACTGGTAGGTCAGTACGACTCATTATAAAAAATTAAGTTTGCTTAAGCTCATTTTTGCTACTGCTCCATTATATTTAATTTCAGGTGTAAGAGTTGCTCTTCAGCTGTGGCACATTACGGAATATCATGAATTTTCTCAACTCCAGTCTAAAATTTTTGCGCGAACTCATGTTTATCTTTTTTTAGCGCTACCTTTCACCAGAGTTACTTTTGGATAGCTACGACCTGAAGAACTTTGAATCTCATAAGATGTCTGATGTGTACGCCATGGGGCTCGTAATGTGGGAACTCCTTCGCAGATGTGAAATAGATGGTTTGCATTTAGATTAGTTTGATAGAAGAGACTTGGTTGTACAAAAAGATTGAAAAAAAATTTTTTATGCGTTATAATGTTCTGACTACAATTTAATTTTCTGGAATGATAGCATTCTTTACGATTCCTGTTACGAATGATGGGAAAATAAATGGCAAGATGAGTTCATGAGGTTTTTTAGATCACATTTCAAGCTATGAATTGCCTTATTTTGACTGTTTGTCACGGGAGCCGACGCTAGAGGACATGAAGCGAGTTTTGCTGGTCGAAAGACGTCGCCCAGTTCCTTGCCAGTATTGGAAGAAAAATTTCGTGAGTCTTGAATGTTTTTCAAACATTCTTGAAGTTCTCATCTTGTTCATAGTGTTTGCTTCAGCTTACTCTTTTATTGTATCAGTCATGTTGTAAGGGACATCACTTCATAGTGTCTTAATTTTAGTTTACCACTGAAGTATATCGATTAATTTGTGAATGTTGGACTGAGTACCCTACTCATCGTCTTTCCGCTTCTAGTGTACGGATCGCAATTGATCGATTAATTGCCTATTTTGGTTGGAACAATGATGATTAATACTTACAAAAAATTGCTTTTAGACCTCTCCTACACGAATTAGGTGGTTCCTATTCACATATAGCTTTGTTGATTTGCTGCATTCAGTTACTATAAACCTAGGGTTAGGAATCACAAGTAACTGAAGTAGGAAGGCGGTCGCATTTCCGCTTTTTGAGTTAGCAAGTTTTGTTCACAGCTTGTTGACTGTATTCTCTTGGAGGCCTTTTGCAGGCCTCAAAATCGGGCCTCAGGTATGAATCTCCGCGTTTATTTAAGCTTTAAATGAAAGTCATCTGTTAGAGACATTTCATTGCATTTTACTTTGTGAAGTCATTTGTACAGATTCACATGTTGCTTTTTCCTAGGTTACATCATTACATTTTTTTAAAATACATTTGTCGAAATTTATCATTTTTGGTTGCTAATTTTAATAATTCAGCGTTCAGTCACTTACAGGTGTTTTTAGTTTTCTGTTGTTATTATTCTCGATTCTCCGGTTCTTTTCGTTACATATGATGTTCAGGGTGGGATTGTTTCAATTGTGAAAGTCGTAGATAGTTCTTTTTAGCAAATTTCTTGATTTTTTGTTTCAACGTCGATCATTGTTTTAGCTAAAAACAAGGAGTTTACTTCTGTTTTTGGTGGGCTTTAATTGGCAACGGTTTTCAGGCAAAGTAAAACGTGTTGTTACTTTATGATAAGATTTAAAACAGTTTTTAGCTAGTTTCTTGGATCGGTATTTTTATTTTGTCTTCATTTTTTATTTGATATTTTGCTGTAAATATTTGCATAGCTTTTGTTACCTCTGTGAAGTTTTTCCATCAAGCTTTACAGTCCCCTAGTCAAAATTCTTGTTTTAGTACTGTTCCGGTGGCTCAAAACAACGTTTTTATCATTCATACGAATTTATGATGTATATTTTAGTCTTAAATAAAGAACCTGCGACGCGCAGTGCGTTCTAATGATTAACAAGAGTTCCTAACTGCTTCAGGGGTACTGAAGACGTCTGCTGAAGATAAGAGTACGAAATGTGCTCAAGTATTGGTAAGTGCGAGGTGTAGAATGAACAAGAGTTGTAAATTCTTTGTTCGTGAAGGTGTATGGGCAGTAATATAAAGGTGATGCTAGACTCCACTTGAATTTTATTTACTAATGCTGAAAATGAAAAACAGTGCAGTTTAGGGTGCCGCATCTACTTGCAACGGGAAGCGCTGTTGTTCAGTTTTTTT